ACATGTGGGTATAAATTCCACCAACGATGTGCAGCAGATATTCCTATTTACTGTGAGCAGGCTTTTGATGACAATTTCTATTTAAGGTAACACTTTAAGACTAGTATACATGTACCTGATATTAAATGTAATATTAAATTGTAAAAATAAAATAATGAAATTGTGATGGCACATTATATTATATAATGCAATGTAGAAAGTATTCAGAATTAGTGGTAAAGCATAAAAACTAGAAGAAGCAAATTAATCAAAAGAATTAGTTTAATTATYTTTTGCACTGGACATCACATGTTGTAATTTTGCATTGCAACTGCCACTCCATATCAAAAACCCATGTTGAAMMGAGAAACATTTTACAATGCTGTRTATGTTTTTATTGTAGATTTGTCTTGTTTWTGCCAAATAATTATAACTTGTCAAGTTTTATTTTGATTTACACTGTACCACATGTGTTTAAGTGCTAAAGCTGCTTTAACATTCTGTATTACAATGTAGTTCTGTATTATTTTTTTTATTCCTGTTGAAATAGTCTGTKTAAGCTGTCATGGTACATTGTGATTATAATCTGATTCAAAGTTCSTCTTTGTGGCAATTAAAGTTGATATAAATATTATTGTTTTGAAACCAATGTAATCCTCAAAATCAGGTTGAAAATATTTTTAAATTTTGAACAATTTTTTTCACGCTTATTGTTTCAAACAGATTACACTGTACTATCTAARTATTTTCAAAGAACTTTGAGAAAAAAAATTATTAGAATTACGATCTCAAATTCTTTTGATATTTTCATTGACTTTATGGAATTTTAATTTTTTTTATTATTGTTGTTGTCAATAATGTTGATAATATATAAATCAATAAGAAAATGAAGTTTTAAAACAATAAAACAATAAAAAGATGAATACCAAACTTTATCCCATATTAAGTGCATCTTATTTGTAATGTAAAATGATAAGAATTGCCATTTATTGAAAACAAGTACCTGCGCACATAAGAAAATGAATATTAAGTCAATAATTATTTGTACAAATAATGTTAAACATAATCATTTAACAGTTCATATCATTGCCCTTTATCTGTTGATATCTTCCAGGTAGCCAGCTACATTTATTGCAATGCTGTATGCTGTGTGTTGTTTCCTTTCTAGCTTAGTTTGATTGCTTGTGGCTTTTTAATAAGAATAAGGATTGACTTTTACCTGATAAATGTATACCGTACGTGTACGTATATACAATGGTCCTTTTCTCTTGTGATCTTGTGGGTTTTCTGGTGACATGTATATGGGATTAAGAAAAAGTCTCAACTGTAGTCAATGTTTGTAYGTATTAGGCTGTTAGTGAACAATTATTTTGAAGCATTACATAATTAATTAGACTGGGCKTTTTTCTAGCATACATCCATCTCTTTCAAAATCATCTTCATCCACAAATTAATTAAAAAAAAACACACAGCAAAAGCTTTTTAAAAATTGTGAATTGCCAACATAAAGTATGTGTACAATTGAAGTTTGGTAGGATTTGGGGGTCTTCTTCAACTTGGCGCAAAGTTTCAACCAATCAATCAACTACATTTAATAGGCAGTTTGATTACAAACTCTCTTAACAACAAGAGGTTTGTGTATAAAACTRATATATCTGAAGTGTTGTAAACGTTTAAATAAGTTGTGGGAGAACTAAAAAAACAATATAGCTAAACTATTTTCAAGACATACAGGGATGAGTTTTTATTAGTTTTGATTTTGATTTTATCAATTCACCAGAATAACGYGGTATCATGAGGGTAAAAGGACCATTGATCATCTCCATTCAATGTCCACATATCGGTCTACTCTCTGTAGATTAAAAAAAATGATATCATTCTATACATGCTRTGAAGTTACACCTGCAGTTGATGTTTTTGGATGTTGCCTATCCTTTGGCATGGCTGTAGGATTTATTATCAAGAATACAATYGGAAGAATCACTTTATCAGTGGCCAGTTAAGTGTGGATAGAGATATCCATACAGRTTAACTCGACCATAGATTTTGTATGGATGTTGTTCATGGGACATTGATAACTATACTCTTTGAATTCCCCAACTTACCCTGGATGAAGAAGTATTGTTAATAGCCAGCTAAGGATACCTAGCAGAACTAGCAGTCAAACCACCTGATAAAATGAACTCATCAAACTTAAATGAAAGTCCTTCATTCTTGCATTATGCAATCTGAATGTCCATTCACTAAATGAAATAAACTCTTGAAATGATTTTCCAACAAAAATCAATTGTACAAATGAGCATAGATTCGAGGAAAAAAATTCTATTATTTAATTTGTGCAATTTTGTGCAATTTTTACAAAGCAATCCACAAAATGACTTCTTTCTTTTGTCCATAGTCAAAGTTGTAATACTCTTCAGATGGTTTGACTGTAAAACCAAAATAAACATTGATAATACTTCTAATTTATTAATCAGACACTATATAACAGACCTTTAGTGTTTGTTAAATGGTCTACACTCTCTGTTTCTTAAGAACTTTTCTCAATTGTTTCTATGGTAACTGTGATGTCACCCACACCAGTTCTTGTATGTTAATCCACATTGCTTTCAAGCTAAGCTAAGATCTGGCGTTACTTGTTCCCTTGCCACTCAAGCCATCCATAAGCTGTTAAACATTGTTAATCGTTGTTTCTGGCTCGTGCAGGTTTACTGAGCAGACCGACTGCTTCTTTGATAAGATAATGGAAATATGGAAGGAATTCAAATTGTTAGTGGAAAGTATAGTTCATACTTTGTCTAATAATAACCAGCTTTGCTGACTAATGATTTCATAACTCTACACCTTTATTTTCACTCCACAATGCTGTGAATTGTGTTGGCATGTTAAGAGTAAAATCATCATCATTTTAATATTTAATTTACTTCTAGTAAGTGTCTTTAATTTTGAGTTATTTTGGTGAAGGAGTTTTGACATAAAAAGATACATGATTGTAATTGTGTGAATTGCAACATAACACAAAATGGTTAAACATTTTAAAATAAAATTTATTGCAGTTATGTCRAGAAAATAAATGACTGAGGCATTTAAGGCTGGTGTTACGTGGCTGATTATGCAATAATGTTTTTTCATTCATGTTGTTTCCAGTCCAAAGTTGCACAAGGTTTGGTGGAGAAAGACATTATTCTTTGCTAAATGTTCCATTATTGATTTTTGATTAGAATTTATTTGCTAAAAAAACAGATTGCAGTGCCATACAGTGTATAGAACATTCAGCCTTTAGTAATGTTTTTGTCATTTATTTACTTCAAGATTTTAACCTGTTTACATATCACTTATAARTAAATAAATATTATTCTGAATCTTAATATCAACCCAAATCTAAACCATTTAATACAATTTAAATATAAAAATAATAAAAAATGAAAATGGGTACAAAGTGCAAATTGCATGAAAGCATTATCGTAAGCTTGATCTCACAACTAAAATTTTAAATGTGATTATAAAAAAAGCGCTTTATTTAGTGATTTTCCACTGTTTGTCTAGGCTACTTTCAGCACGTACAAATGAGTTTGCTGACTCGGACGACTCCTCAAACGACCATAAACCAATGGGAAGAGAGAGGTCTATATCAGCACCGAATGTGTGCTTAAACTCAGTTGGAGAAGAGCTGTTTAATGAGGTACATACATCTGATATGCAATAGACACCAATTTAATAAAAGTGCAAAAATGAAAATGTTTTATTAGTTATTAATAGATTATCCATTTAATATTATTTTGTTGTCTTAGAATGCTTTCCTTCATGCSCAGTCAAGACAGCAAGTTGCTACGATATCTGGTAATTTCSCAATAAYCTCTATTTTCAGTGCATTTTTGTGCAATCTTAGGTTCATGATAATTGAATGAACCAACACCCTGCATCGCCACTGTCACTGGCATRAAATCCCATGAAGCTTTAATTAATAATTGTTAATAATCAATAATAAAACCACAGACAATAAAGAAATAAACCTCACAATGTGTAGTTCCAGAAAATATCCATACCCCCACCACGGAGGATTTCGGATATTCCGAGGGGGTTGGGGGTTAAAGTAGCTTGGAAATTCCGTGGGGGTGGGGGGTCAATCTGCAATCGATCTACAAGAAATCAATTGCGTAGATATGCGTTATTACCGTATTCCTGACATGTACTTGTATTTAAATAGAAAGAAAGGTTGATGATAGAAAAAGGCAAAAGAATCCTTCTTTATTGAATAAGTGTATAAATAAGATTCTAGATTCATTGTTAGTCAAAGCACGTGGTTGTTTTAATACACTCAAGTGACGGTTCGATAATCGGCAAAGATTTATGACCACAAAGAAACTTGAGCTTTAGGTAAAACACCAAAATCGAACATTTAAGAATTAATATGCTGAAAAAAATAAATATTCAGAAGGAAAAGATCGATTTCTAGATCGTAAAAGAAGTGCAAATTTTTATATAAACAGTAAGGAAACTACTTTCCGGCCGATAGTTCTTCGAGATTGTACTTAGAATTCGCAAAGTTCACTATGTGGTGCTAGACTTCGTTGTTCCATCTCTGCAGCTTTCGTTTGTTATTTGTCCTCTGTTCTTCTGATACTCAAAAACATTTGATTTTAAATTGCCAGGCGTATTTAATGCGTATCTTGTATTGACGGAAATTCCGAGGGGGTGGGGGTAATACCTGCCTTTTTATCGGAAATTCCGGGGGGGCCGGGGGGTCATAAACAAAATATCCTCCGTGGTGGGGGTATGGATATTTTCTGGAACTACACAATAAACCCTAGAAATAAGGACTGTCAAAAGTAGTTTTTCAACACATTAGGTAACAGAATTAGCTTAAATTGTCTTTTTTTTGCACACACAGATTTTTTTTTTTGCATTACATTACAATAAAATATATTACTTCATCACCTTTTCAAGGCTAAGGCTAGGTAAACAAGGTCTAGAAACTGGAGTGAGTTGGTGGGGAGTATTAATTATTCTATCAATTAAAATCGACATTTTGTCCTTTATCTTATAGCCACAGAAGGAAGTCGGTTATTGAAGAAACGACATGCAAGTGAGCGGACACACCCTCATGTCTCAGATCTCTTTGACACGAACATTGCCAATGATATGAGGGTRCATAAATTACATCCCAATATGGGGCTTGCTAATGGCAGTGCSTTTGGTGATCATCCACCAAGCCTGCAAAAAACTGCAGCAAAACCAAGAGTTCGAGCAAAATCATCACCAGATCCTGAAAGAGGTCGACAGGTARATTACATTAAAACAACGAAATTTAAAAGAACAATATCAAAAAAACACCTTAGATTCAAGGAATTGTACYGTATAAGCCCACCCAGTTATTTTTGCAGTATTTTGAACASAAATGACAGCAGGGAGGTCATCCCATGGCTTGGTTGTCGTGGTTGGGACCCTCTGAATGCTTGCCCCACTTCAACTAACATTTAGAAAATCAAACCTTCCCTTCATGTGTGCAGTGAGAAGTTAGCATGGAATGGTTGATTATAAAAGCCTACATCCAGCATCATTGACATTGATATCCATCAATTAAAWTTCATTCCTTTCAGAGACAAAGAGCAAATTCAACAGATGACTGGGAAATCCCTGAGGGTGAGGTACAGATGGGACCTAGAATAGGGTCTGGCTCATATGGAACTGTATATAAAGGCAATTGGCATGGTGAGTACATACTGCAGACATAGCACTGTAAATTACTTGCACAAAGTTAAAACAAGCTTCTCTCAGGAGAAGCKAGATGTTAGAAAATCCATGTTAGCTAGTACCTCAATCACAACAGAGAGTGGCTACAAGTACCGCCACTGTGCATGTAATTGCTACTTCCATGCCGTGATTGGAATTGCCAGCCATCTCCAGATGGACTGTCTGAAACCAATCAATATGTAATAATAGTAGGAAATCATCAGCCTCATTGCTTTGAAGGGCAAACAATAACCAAACAATAACTCAGTGGATGCAGATCCTAAAATGCAAATCAATTTCTAAAAGATTTTTTTGTATCAACATTTAAACAAGTTGTATTTTTCACTGGTTGAGGACTGAAAATAGTGGAAAATGTTTTCTCTCACACCATGGGAGCCTGGGTCGAGCCATGCCTTAATCACGTGGACAGGGTTTTAGTTCAGTTGCTTTTTCACTGTCTGCCATTGACTAAGTTTTCACCTAGGCAGCGCCCACCCACTATAGTACAATGCTTGTATTCATTCAGATTTTTGGCGGTAGTCAGATAGCTACTAGACAATAAGCTCCCAGTGGTGTGTGACAATTATATTTTAATCTTTTTTTTTAATTTTCAGGTGCTGTTGCTGTCAAAACGTTGAATGTATCAGATCCTACCCCTCAGCAGCTACAAGCTTTTAAAAATGAAGTAGCTGTTTTACGGTAAGAAATGATGGAACACAACAATCAATGTTTTATGAATCCTGTCTTATTCAGTTATTTGTCATGTTCAGGAAAACTCGCCATGTAAATGTATTACTCTTCATGGGATGTATGTCAAAACCCAAACTAGCCATCGTTACACAGTGGTGTGAGGGCTCTAGTCTTTATCGTCATCTCCATGTGTCAGAAACAAAATTTGAAGTTTTGAGCCTGATTGACATTGCGCGACAGACTGCTCAAGGCATGGAGTGAGTATTATGATGATAGTTAAAACGATTTATGAATTGACAGACTGCTCAAGGCATGGAGTGAGTATTATTGTGATAGTTAAAACGATTTATGAATTAAACATGACAGAGTAATCCAGTGCTTTTCCCAAAGTGACATTTAGTTTGTATCCAAAAGAAATATTAATGAGTAAAAGTACATCCAAGTATTAAAAGATTTGTGGTGGATTGGCCTTTTACATGAAATAGTCACATGGTACTACATCAGCATACTGGACGGCAAAAGAATGTAAAAAAAAAAAAACTAAAAAAATGAACGCCTAGTATGTTTTGAACATCCCAGTGGGAATTTGCCATCCAGTATATGGCTGATTTATTACCATTTGACTGTTTCATGCAAAAGGCCTATTGTTAACAATTTCCATAATTATTATAATAATTAAAATATGATTGTTTAGGTACTGTTCATTCTTGTKTGCATATTGAATTCTAACATATATTTTTTTCCAGTTATCTTCATGCCAAAAATATAATTCATCGAGATCTTAAGTCAAACAGTATCCTTTGATGAGTTCATGGATTGCCACGATACTGGCTCCATTGTGTGTTGTTGCTATATAATAATAGAAATTTAAGACAACTTTTGACTTTTAAACAGTGAATATTTTTTTTCACCTAGTGTGCTTTACACTGAAAACATGAGAAATCATTTATCGTGTATAAATTAAATAGACAAGTACTTTTCCAAGGTAGTGTGGAATTTACATATTAATTATAATTTATCCCTTCATTCTTTCAGTGGAGAAATGAAAATCCTTTCTTTACATCACACAACAATTTATAATTACATTTGAGAAGTTGTGCAAAGTCTAACTGCATTAATGTCGACAGGATGTCATATATTTACAGATTAACTCCAATTTTATTCTAAGATCATAATTCACAACAATCAACAGGCGACAGCAATCAAAGGGATGTATAAATTTGTGGCCTTTCCATGTTATAGTCGATTCGGTAGTTAGTACCACAAAATAGTGTAGATTGGACAATGAAACAAAGACATTTACATATTTTATTCAGTACAATTAGCAGTATTTTATTACTAAAGATTTTCATTGTTTTAGTGATTGTACTCAGTGCATAAAGTTTGAGATTGACAGTGTTTTATAACTTTCCTTAACTCCTTGAAAAGATATCTTTTTACAAGAAGATTTGACAGTAAAAATAGGGGACTTTGGGTTGGCGACCATYAAAACAAGATGGAGTGGTAGTGAATATGCTGAGCAACCATCAGGGTCTATATTATGGATGGTAGGATGATCATTATAATCGATAATATTACCTTTATGTTCATTAGCTTAAAACTAATTCAAGTGTTTGAACATTTTCAAGATTGTACAAATGAACATTATATCATCAACTAGGTAGTTTTGTATAAAATTCATATCTCAAAAAATGCCCATGTAAAATGCTATTATAGTTATTGTATAAACTCAAATTTGTATCTACAAGGACAATTTTTTATGTATCCATGGTAACTTGTTATTTGATAGTCCACAARGACATACCCTTTAGTCTTCATTTGATGTGAGGCCTTTTTCACATGTGAAATAGCATCTTATTTTCACAATCTGATTTAAGATATATTAACTTTTTCACGTTTTCACAAACTAGTACRTAAAAAATAATTACTTGATGCATTTTCAGGCACCTGAGGTGATTCGTATGACGGACCCCAATCCTTACTCATTTTATTCTGATGTTTATGCTTTTGGGATTGTGTTGTATGAATTGATATCAAGCTCGTTACCTTATGCAAATATTGGCAATAAAGATCAGGTGAGTGCTATATTGATTGGTAGATATGCCAAGTTCATCAAGCATATGTGGTCGATCTAGGGGTAAAGAATTGCTTTATTTCCCTCCCCAGCGGAAATCCTTGATCCATGATCCACCCCAATGTAATGTGCAATATTATATTATTATTTTAACGGACATGGTGTTATTTTCTTCTAGATTCTGTACATGGCAGGGAGAGGATATTTAAAGCCAGATATGAGAAAAATTAGAAATGACATTCCAAAAGCACTAAAATCGCACATGCTGGAGTGTATCAAATTTAATCGTGAGGAAAGACCACTTTTTACACAAGTAAGATGTTTTTATTTTATTTGTCAACACAAAGAATAACCTAACAACCCCTTTTATCACAGCAATGGCACTCAAAGCAGGACCACTTTTGAGACGATAGTCTTCTTCACGGTTACCTGCGCCATCTTGAAAGGTAGCCGTGCGTTTACATCGAAGCGAGACAACCGTTGAGCATGCAATGATAGAAACCTGTGAATAATTGTCTGTAGGTGTGAAAGAAGGTTTCTATCATTGCGCACTCAACGTTTGTCTCGCTTCGATGCAAAGGCACGGCTACCTTTCAAGATGGAAAAATTAATTTCCAACCACGCTGGGATTCAAACCCTTAACCCTCAGATTTCTACTGCCGATGCTCTACCAACTGGGCTGCAAGTTCAGACTGGGAGCAAGTCGGGGTGAAATAGATGTTTTGTTTCAGTAATTGAAACATAAATATATGTAAAGCTATACAGTCCAAATATTCATACCTTCCAATGAAATTGGTTTGTTAAATGTAGTCAATGTTCTTGTTACAGATACTTGTAACCTTAGAAACAATACACCGTGCTTTACCTAAAATACTTCGCAGCACATCAGAACCATGGAATCTAGGAGCTAACYTAACAGCTGATGATGTGTTCTTTGGTCCATCAGTACCAGAGACGCCAATTAGTCCTTTTGGCAATGAYTTTGCCTTCTTTACTAGTGTCAATGCAGGGTATTGATCACATGTCGACATGATTCTTTATGTAGAATGATATTACATAAAATGCATTCATACCATCCAATTTAATAATAATTATAATGAGTCATCCAGTGTACAGGCTGCCCAGCTATTAATTCTCAATTGATGGTTGGGCTGCCTGTGTTAAACAATCAAATTCCAGCACTCCTGTACTGTTTGCATGGCTCTGTTCACTTCCAAGATTAGAGAATGCGCAAACATTTATTTAAAGTTACATACCAGCCATTTCTCTTGAACAAGCAAAAATGTATGTACCTTCCCTCCCCTAATTCGTTATCTAATGGTCTGTCGGCTAGCAGGTCATTTATAAGAMACAGACTTATTCTCCTTGAAGTGAGCAACCCCATGAAAATGGGCTTAAAATAGACTAAAAGACTAAAAAACGACTGAAGACTCAACTTGCTTGTACCATTTTAGGCAGCAGGTCTTTTGCCTGCCCAAGTTGTCTATACAACATGGTTGTAACTGTCATAGAGGTTAAAAATAATTGTTTAAAAGCTWTTAGGGCAGATGTCAAAAATAGCCAATGTTGTTATATGATGAGTTAGGCATGTTGTATGCAGTCGTTGCAGGAAAAAGGTTAATAATYATTGCTCTTTCAAGCTACAGATTTTTCTTCTGAATAATATTTGTCCAAGTCTCACTTTAAGATTTTAAATGACTCCACAGCTGTGTCCCATTTATTTATATCAAGTATTAAGCTGTGTTAAAATGTGTGTATTTGTACAAATCAAAGTGCAAGGCACTGAAATTGTGATATACTAAATGTTTGATATTCAATGAGCTTTGCTCAAGATCCCTACAGGGGTAGTTATAAGACGTAAATTAGTCTACTCATAAACTAATGATTTTATCACTCCTTACTGTTATTTGGAAAAAGAACTGCCAGCAACTAAAATGTGTCTGGAATGTTAAGAATATTTTTGTGACCTCAATTCTTTGGTGAAAATAAGACAAGAACCAAAACGTTGTTATGGTTACAGGCCAAGTTCATTGGTCTCTACACAGCTTTATGAGATGGTCTACATTGCAACAAACATTCCATACATATTTAAGGTGCTCAGGTTTCTTTTCAAACAAATGTTAAGTCTGGAATACAAAAGTTACACTAAAAGTGTGCAACAAAAGTACCATTTATTACTTATAACTGTAATGAACATCAGTGGCAGACGCCTGAAATTCGGTCAGTAAGTTCTTTCATGTTTTTTTTTTATGGTGTTGAAATTGATCGTATTGCTCAAAAACTGTTTCTTTTGAAAACCGGACACAATTCATACTATAGCTTATAGTCTACCAGTAGTTTCCATCATTTTGACTTAGCACTGTTCACTTGTAAATGGTGCAAAGTGTTGCACACTATTTAGTGTTTGTACTCTATCAAATAGTTCCCAATTAAATATAATTATAATATTAATAATATTGTACATGCATAATGAATTTAATCACAAATAATGAATGCAATTTTAATAGTTTTTACTCTATTTCTCGTATTAATATGTATTTACTGACAATGTATAGTTTGGTGGCAATCTGAAATCTTAAAATATAAAGTAAAGTACCTCCATTAAGATGTTATTAGATATTACTTAATTTTCACAATTTTATTAGAAATGCCTTGTAGATTGAAATGAAACCAAAGCAGTGCACAATAGAATGCTAAATTAATCTTATTTTTGCTTATTATCAAAGGCTTTTTTGTAGCAATTGGTAATGTTTGCTTGATAGATTTAGATTGTTTACTCAAGAGTGCATTATTTTATGATATGGGGAACATTTTGGCTCTTTTCCACAATTTTTATGAGTAAACTTGTTTCATGGATTTACTTTAGTGAATGCGCTCTCCACTACTAGGTCAAACTTTTAGGGTAAGGTCATGTCAACAATGATGCAATCTTCTTGCTTTGCATAAATTCTGATTTTTTTATACAGTCAAATTTTAATCCAGCRTGAAAAACTTGATGAACACAATAGGCCAGTTTCTTGGAAATTAGGAAATTTTTCCAAGTTTGAGAACAAACCATTGACAATTTGAAAATATAAAACTTCTCAAATTCACCAACCTTTACAATATATAAATGTATGGTGAGGTYCAAGCCACAATCTGGACATTTCTTTGTAAATTTCTATTGGTGTTTTTGAAGTATTTTCTTCTACAGACTAGTAGACTACTGAGAATTTCTAATACTTATCAATAATCCCATTRTAACAAAAAATGAATTCATTATTTTTATTGCTCGAACATTGCTCAAACAGAACAATTTTCATCTAAACAAAAAGGTTGCATTTATTTGGACATGGCCTTCATATCCCTTCTTCTGCATACCATATTTTTTTTTCTCTTAAATTGCGTTTCAGTATTTAATGATAATTTAATATTTAGCTTGAACCATGAGTTTGTAAATAGGGGAGGAYCTGCTACTGCTGCATATTATAAGCAAATCACTGCATAATGAAATATTGTTTTATAAAATACTGTTGTGAATATAGACTGGGATTGGGTGTGTACTGCCGTCATGGTGCAGTAATTGCTCAGGGTGGGTGTATAAATTATRAATTATGTGCTGTTCGATAACTAAATGGCAACAATGACAATTTTCATATCAGTTTGTGGTTTGAGCAGTATTTGTTTTTTTCATTTCTGTCATTCTTTGTGTCAGCATTCTCTTCTACATATAACTGCATCTAAAGTATTACACAGTACTTGTGAATCTTATGATCTATTGTGATTGAATTTATTATGAATATAGAAACCTCCACAGTACAGACACCTTCGGAATACAGACACCTCCACAATACAGACATACCTACAATACATACAGACCTCTACAATACTGCCGGCTTCATATAACATTGACACCACCTCTCAGAGTACATACACCACAACATAAAGCACTTTCATAATACAGACACCTCCACAATACAGACACCTCCACAATACAGACACCTCCATAATACAATCACCTTAACAACACAGACACCTCCACAATACAGACACCTCCACAATACAGACACCTCCATAATACAATCACCTTAACAACACAGACACCTCCACAATACAGACACCTCCACAATACAGACACCTCCATAATACAATCACCTTAACAACACAGACACCTCCACAATACAGACACCTCCACAATACAGACACCTCCATAATACAATCACCTTAACAACACAGACACCTCCACAATACAGACACCTCCACAATACAGACACCTCCATAATACAATCACCTTAACAACACAGACACCTCCACAATACAGACACCTCCACAATACAGACANTTCACAACGCGGACACCACAATACAGACACATTGATCACGATCACTAGGTCTTAATTTGTTGTGTTTAAAGACTTATATTGTATCTGATCCTCGATATGGTAACCAGACCTTACAACGTGATCACGACATTTGGAGGTCGCAGCTTTCCAAAAGGAATTTGTTCTGCTGGAAATCAAAATTCGAGGAATGGAAGCTTTTCTGCAGCGAGAAGCTAAATTTTACATCTAAATATCAAAAGAGTACTGTTATCCCGAGAAGGACTGTTTGATGTCAAAACCTGTGCGAAAGTCATCTTCAGAGCGAAATAAAGAAATATTAAAGTCAAGTATTAATTTGCCCAGCATAATATTTATCAGAGTATCTTTGGATAGCTTGTTCCATGAAGAATCAACCACCAAGCTTTTTTGATTTAAATCTTTATCGCATAATGAGAATCAACTTTGTTTAGAGCATACTAGTGTGAATCAAGCTAAAACTCCTATTGTARAACCGAGATTATTTTGTCTACCAAAATTTCCTCGAATTTTATAGAAAAGTCACGTTATGTGGTATATTTAGATGAAGAATAAAAGGATTTTCGGGTTTTAAATAACATTCAAATCTTTTTTTGGCACTGTTTTCAGCCGTTAATGTTAGGGTACGTTTCAGCCAAAATGAAATGGCGGTTTTCGGGTGATCTCCTCTTAAAAAGGCATTTTYTCGAATGTATTTTGCTTCCAAAACCATTTAGTGTATTCTAGCATACAAGAAAGTTAATCTGGACTAAAATGTGAGCAAAATCAATTTTTCAGTGATGACTTGTCTGCACTATGCCCTCTCAAATGCTTATCTGCCTTTTGTTAGAAAGCAGCCAATCCAATTTCAATCATGTTTATTCAAAGTTTAATTTGAAAAAATAAAATGCGAGTTAAACTCAATTGATATGTCAGCTAAACCAATCAACCAACACCTTGATGAAAACGTAATTGTCCTGTGATCAGGTGCAAAGTAGCTCTGCGAGTGCTTATAAACTGAAACTGAAAGTTACTGCAAAGTTATCTTTACACCATAAAGTCTTTGCTGTGGTTTACCAAAGTATCGCAAAGAAGCAAAATATGGAGTCTTCAAACTGGCAAATACAATTTTCGACTCTAAGAGAACGTAGYAAGTATGCGTTCGACAAATCCTTGTTCTGTGATGTTAGATTCTCCGTTGAAGACGATAATGGAAAGAAAGTCATCATTCCATCGAACAAGTACATGCTGGCCATCACTAGTCCTGTCTTTGCTGCCATGTTTTACGGTCATCTACCCGAGACTAGAACAACCATCGACCTACCAGATTGCACTATGGAAGGACTGCAAGAAATGCTTCGCTATGCACATTGTGAAGAAGCCAATTTAACCCGCAACAACGTATTGGAAGTACTATACCTTTCCAAGAAGTACATGATTCCATTCCTGGAAGAGAAATGCAAAACGTATCTTGAACCCGAAGATGTGTTCAGTGTTTTACCTCAAATAGAGAAAATGGGAGATAAAGTTCTTCAAGAACACTTGTGGGGCATTGCTGACAGCGAAACTCATCGAGTCATTTCTTCTGAATCATTCCTGAGTGTRTCCAAAGAAGTGGTTTGTAATTTGCTCGAGAGAGACAATCTACGAGTCTCCGAGCTACWCCTTTTCCAAGCTGTAGATAGATGGGCTGCCAAGCAGATTGAGGAAAKRAAATTGCMRGTMTGTGATGGTAAAACAAAAAGAGCCATTCTYGGAGATGAGGTCATCCGACTGATCAGGTTTTCATTAATGTCTGAAAAGGAATTTGTTGAAACRGTACTCCCTCTTGACATTTTGAATTTTGGYGAAGTAAAAGAATTACTTCAGATTTTCCACGGTACAATTCGTTCGACACACRTGTTTAATAGCAGAAGAAGAAGATTCCTTCCTGATATATTTAGGTTCAGTGCCATTAGTCCAGCAACGGCATGGTGCTACAGCGAACCGGATGCTATAAGTCTCAGTGTTAACAAAGATGTCCATCTGGTCGGTGTACGATTGTTTGGCAAAGAAGGCTTTAAGTACGATGTACAATTGAAAATCTACCCAAACAATCGAAGTGATTGCCTTGCCATKGTGAMACGGTCCTCGTTCATGACTGRCAGTGCAAAGATAGATGGTTTATATTATGGATTCACGGTTATGCTTGACAAACCCTTGCAACTAGTCGCTGGTCAGYTGTATACATTGGAAGCGGCAATAAGTGGACCAARCTCATGTTCTGGACAGTACGGTCATAGGAGTGTGCATGTAGGAGACATTGTTRTAACATTCGCAACTGCTTCAGTTCCTAATAACGGTAATGATACTGACCAGGGCCAGTTTCCTTCGCTGATTTTGGAATAACTGTATGATTGGAGACACAGAATTTTCATCATCTCCTAGTTTGTTTTCACCTCCAAAAAATTTTAATTTTAAAAGTCAACTATTTAAACAAACTTGAATTGAAGGCATTGTGCTGTAGTAGGCTAGCTGCCTTRCTCGTTCTTGCTTGATCTGATCGCTAGATTCTTTATTTTCTCCTACCATTATCTTACTTGTATTATACTTTATAGTTTCATAATTGTCGACACCGGCATATCGATTTATTCACCACTTTAAGATTTGAAGTCATCCACCATCTTAAAGTTTCCTTAGTGCCATTTCACTCGATGCACAGGACATACATTAAACTTGTGAAATTTCRCTCCTAARGCTTTCCATTTCTGCTATAACTCTGACCCTCTCATTTGAGAACTTCTGCCACTGTCTAATCCTCAATATATATCTCATGAGAAATCTATTTTGAAAAGTGTCCAACCTCTTTTCGTCTTCTTGGTGATTTTCAACGTTTCATTTCGTAAAAACTCACCTTCACAATACAGACACCACTGCAATACAGTCACCTTCACAGTACAGACACCTCCACAATACACACATCTTCACAATACAGACACCTCCACAATACAGACACCTTCACAATACAATCACCTCCACAATACAGACACCTCCACAATACAGACACCTTAGTTCACAATACAGACACCTCCATAATACAGACACCTCCACAACACAATCACCTCCACAATACAGACACCTCCACAA